AGAAACAAAATCAAGGATAGGGAGATTTTAAAACTAGAAAAAAAAAAAAGTTGTATGAGCCCCTAATAAAATGATTAAAAAAAAAAAATCTTCGCTTCAGTGCCCTGGCATAAGAGTTCAGACCTCAAATAAAACCGAAAGACAACGGAGGGGAAGACACAAGGCAAGAGGACACATTTTGAGAATGTGCGAAGGCACTTATTTGAAAGGAGTATTGTCTTCAGGGGGCCTGGCTGGCGACTGTCCACACTAGTTGATGTCAGTCGGAAATCAGACCCCATTGTGGGCCCATAAAATGCATGTCCTTTCAACCCACAGATCGCTATCAACCTCACTGAGGCGACTCCGGTTCCTTTTGGTCCGGTCATTTCCTTTCCCGAGCGTCTGTAAGAACCACCCACTCGGGGATGTTTCTCAGGATTCTAGGTTTGTAGGTCGAACAGAAACCCCGGGAACGCCTGGAAAAGGGAAACACAAAGCCGTTCCATTGTGCAGGAGCGGGATGACATCAACTCCGCTGCTGCTGTGGGGGTGGCGGAGGCAGGCGACTGTGCCCAGAGCGCGTGGGATCCCGGTCTCCTCTGTCCACGAATCCACTAGCAACCAGGAACACAGGTCAGTCCGATGAAGAGCTTCGCTCCTAAGTAGGTGGTCCTGCTAAGGGGGGTTGGGTGGTTTAAACAAGCATGGCCGTGCCTATTCCTTGGCTGATTTCAGAGGATCGAGCAGTGGGCATTCAATGTTGTTTTCTCTTTGTCATCCTCAGGCAAGTCCACAATGGGGGAGAGACAGGAGCCCCTGGCCATGACGGTCCATCTCCTGGCCAACTCTGGGCATGGCTCGCTTCTGCAGCGAACCCTGGCCCAGCTCCTGGATGGCATTTTCCCAGAGGCCTGCCTCTTTCTGGTGTCAGAGAGGGTTAGCCCTGTGAAGTCCTATGAGAAGAAATACCACCCGAAACGTTCCCGCTTCCCAGGGATGTCTGTTTTGCTCTTTCTGCACGAAAGCCTTGGTGAGCAGCGGATAGTTCAAGTTCTCAACTCTCTCCGGCATTCACCTTGGCAGTACTATCCCACCCAGAATGCCCAGGGAAGACTCCATTCCTCCTTTCTTGCCAATCAGGAGTTTTACAGTCTGGACAACCAGATGCCCGTCTGGGGAGTGAGGCAGGTGCACTGTGGCTCTGAGATCCTGCGGGTGACACTCTACTGCAGCTTTGACAACTATGAGGACGCCATCTGGCTCTATGAGATGATCTTGCAGAAAGAAGCCACTTTGCAGAAGAGCACCTTCTGTTTCTTCGTGCTCCGCTCCACCGCAGGCTTTACCTTGCAGCTCGCCCTGAAGCAGCTGCCCCTCGGGGTGTCAGTGGACCCCAAAGAGTCTGCAGTGCTGCAGTTCAGGGTTCAAGAGATCGGCCAGCTCGTGCCTCTCCTGCCCCATCCGTGCGTCCCCATCAGCAGCACCAGGTGGCAAACTCAGGACTGCGACGGCAACACCATCCTGCTCCAGGTACTTCCGCTCTGTCACCGGGCATGTGGCAAAGCACCTAGACCCGTGCAGTTTTACATCAGCGATGTAAACTGAGAGATGGAGCTACTCTAGTGGGTTTCCATGGAGGCTGCCCAGTAGAACCCCCAGGGGAGCTTTCGAAAACTCCCATTTCAGCGGCCATTATAATCTCGGGGGAGGGGGGGAGGGGTGGTGGTAGGGGGAGGCGACACATGCATGGGTTGAGTGAAACTGATGTATACATATAAATATTTTTAAAACCTCATCAAATGGACAAGGAGATTCAAATATGGGAAGCGAGCAGTTTGTAGTCCTATCAAACAGAACTCTTTATCTCAGACTTTTCTGTGACATTTTCTGCCTAGAAGAGTAGCCCACGTGGTGCAGTGGTGACATGTTGGGCAGCGGTCGGCATGGTCAGCAGTTTGACACCAGCAGCAGCTCTGTGGGAGAGAGACGGGGCTTTCAACTCCCGTCCAGTTACAGTCTCCGAAACCCACAGGGGGGCCACGATGAGTCAGCATAGCCTTGATGGCAGTGAGAGTATACTTACTGCCCAGATCAGATCAGACCCAACCAGTGGCCTTGGGCTTGGCTTTGGCTGCGCACTAGAGATGTGTCCTCCAGGGATTTGGATGGTTGTTATTTTGGAAAGAGATCCCAGGTGTTTCTTCTGGTGTATCTCTGGGTGGTTTCGAACCTTTCAGCTGTACCCACATACTTTACCTTGTAGTCTTTGAGTTTAGGGATATGATAAGCTCTTTCCATCTGACCTAGGAAGCTGAATTTGTAGCTAAGTTCGGGAATGTTTAGTTGTTGTCTTGTTGCGTTCATGTTTGAGCACCTGTATCCCACTTTGAAAGTTTCCATGGAAATCAAATTAGACGGGTAACTTGTCTTCAAAAGATGATCTTATTATTAAGGTTTTCTTTTGCAACCATATGATGAAAGTGGGACAAGCAGGTATATATTTAATCAAGTTGTCATCTCTTATGCTGTATTAGCGGCAGTTGGACCTTGCCACTTGATAGCTGTGTGACCTTCGACTTCAGTTTCTTCATGAGCATAATAGGTATAATAAGAGTATCTTCTTATAGGGTAGCTATTGGCACTTAACGACTTGAATCTTATGAAGTGTTTTTAGTCAGAACTCAATTTTAGCCACTACGGTCCACATTATGGCCTCTAAGTATTTTGGAGGCTTTGGGTGGCACAGATATTAAGTACCACTAGCCAGAATGTTGGTGGTTCAAACCCACCCAGATGTGCCTAGGAAGAAAGGCCTGGTAATCTGTTTCTGAAAGTCACAGCCTTGAACACTCTGTGGAGTATTTGTACTCTGCCCATGTGGCATTGCTGTGAGTTGGAACTGACTTGATGACAATTAACCAGAACAATAAGTATTTTAATTTGGTTCTTTAATCTTTAGAACAATCTAGGGAGTCACTCCCCCACCCATCCTGTGTTTCCAGATAGGAAAACTGAAGTATAAAGGGTTCAGGTACTTACCCCCTAAATAGCTACAGGCGTCTATCAGACTTTGAAGTCAATGTCTATCCATTGAACCCCAGTATTCTGTGGGTATGGATGTGTGTGCACTGCACGTGGGTATAGACAGGGAGATGTGTGCAGACCCTAGCCCCTGTATATGTTGCTTCTGTCCTTGGGAAGGGGCTAAGGCAGTTTGGCTGGAGTAATAACAGACTCAGAGATGAGTTGTCTGCCCTTTTGGTTAGTGTTGTGGTCCTCAGCTTTGACCTCTTGGTGTTAAATAAAACCACACCCATTCTATATGACTTGCCTTCTTAGACACACATTTCCTTTAGAAATCAATCTGTTAGCTGCCAGTGATGGGATGCACTCTCTTCCAAGGCATCTCAAGTTTCTCCTTTAGAATTTCAAATCAGGCTCACTGTTTGCAGAATTTAAAACCAACCCCATTCCCTAACTAAAGTTTGCTATGTGTAGGCAGTAGAGGGACATTTCAAACCATTTCTATTTTAAAGGTTAAACAGATACCTTTTGCTACTGAAACTGAAACACAGCTACTGACTGGCCTCTGCTTTGGAGAGTTGAATCAGACACGGGAAGGGCAGAAAAGCTCTTTTAGCATAAAGAACACTTCTGAGCAGTATATGTTTTTCTTTCCCTAGGAGTCTGGCCACCTCTCGGGGTTTCTATGGGATAGAGTGTTTAGTCCTTTTTCCTCATAGACTTCCTGAAACCGCCACCCTTCCTGGTCTGTTGGAAAGCTCTCCAAATGATAGCTGTTCCTGCCTTCCTCGCTCCCCAAACACTGGGCGTGGTGGTCTTCCCATTAGTCAGTCTAAGCGTTTGCAAATAAAATGGAAGCTTGTCTTCAGGCAACGTGTGTTCTGTCCCCATGTCATAAAAGCCATTGACGGAAACAAGAAGGCTTCGCAGCCTTCTCAGGCAGGTCCCTGGGTAGCACAAAGTGGTCACACTGCCTCCTTAGTCTCAAGATCGGCAGTTTGAACCCACCCAGTGGTGCTGCTGAAGAAGGCCCTGCAATCGGCTTCCAAAAAGATGACCCCAACAGGCTCACGGCCATCGCGTCCTTGGTGACTGATAGCGACCCTGAAGGACAGGGAAGACCTGGCCCTGTGGACTTCCACGATGGCAACTCATGACCGGAGCAGAAACTCTCATCTTTCTCCCACAGTGGGCTCAAACCGCTGACCTGGCGGTTAGCAACCCAATGTATATGCTCTCAGAGCTCCTTTCCCCCAGAAAACCCTATGATGCAGTTCTCCTCGAACACATGGGGTCCCCAGGAGCCCGAATCAACTTGACACTTCAGGGTGGGCTTTCTTCCGGTACAATGACTGTTTCCGGAAGGAAAACTCAGCACAGAGTTCCCTGGAGAAGGTAGCGAAGGGGTAGGTGGTTCATCTTTAGCTTTTAGGAACCAGCCGTCTAGGTATGATTCACCACTTAGCTCCTTTCCCACCCTCTAAGAAGTCCCCGGGGCACAATGACTAAGCACCTAGCTAGCCCTTAACTCAAAGGCTGTCAGTTTGAAGGGACTCAGTGTGGCTCTGTGGGAGAAAGGCCCGCCAGTCTGCTTTTGTGAAATTGCACATGGCACACAACAGGTGTCTTAAGTTGTGAGATGGAAGACTGATTTTCCCCTGTCGAGTTTCACCCAATTCACAGTAAAAAGTTAAAACGGCCCCCACCACAAGCTTTATGAGGCAGTTCTACTCGGCGGTGTGTCAGAATCCACTTGATGCCACCCAACAGTCAGGGCTTAACCAATGTGCATCCAGTTATCAGCTCTGCCACCCCTGACTCGACCTTGTCCTCAGACAGGCTCCCCTCCCGTTGCCACCGTACTGAGGACTCCATCCTCACAGGGGCTCAGAATACCGTATCCCACTAGGATCCAACACATATGTGGGGTTTCATGGCCAGGTTTTCCTACAAGAATCAATGAGTGCATTCAGAGGTTTGGGACCGTGCGGGTTAGTTTAGTCCTGATGTAAATGCCCTGCCTGCTGCCCTGCATTGGGCCTGAGTTAGACTCTCCTGAAGTCTGTGGCCCTCATGGGAGAGGTTGAGGCTCCTCTAGTGAAGATCAGAGGGGCAAACAATGCTGGATGGTGCTATTATGTGTTAAAGTGTCTCCTCTTAAAATTGTAACCGCTGTACTTACAGATGTGACCCAATTTGTAGATCAGAGTTTCCTGTTGTTTTGTTTATGAAGCCGTGCCAAGGTAGGTTCAATACTAAACCTAGTCTCAGAATTCTGTGTTATAACAAAGGCTAGAAAATACATAAAGACACATTCCAGGGAAGACAGATGACAGGTGAGGAGTTGTCTTCAAACGAAGAAGGGCCAAGTCTCAGTGGCAGAATTCCCAAATCCAAACTCTGCCATCAAGTTGATTCTGACCCATAGCGACCCTGTAGCACAGAGTAGAACTGCCCCTGTGGGTTTCTGGGACTGTGGTTCCTTATGGGAGTAGCTTTATGTAGCAGCTTGTTTGTCTCACACTGCACCGGAGACACCAGAAAGTAGGAGGGAGGCTAATGGAAGGGATTGTCTTAGCCAACACACTATATTCCTGTTCTTTAAAGCCACCCTCTCGGGGCATTTATATTACAGTAGCACTAAGCAACGAAGGTCCCAAATGCTTAATGTCCACCAAATGGAATAATAGAATCACCCCACAGGTCTGGGGTAGAGGTGAGTGTGTAGGGGTTCCAGACTCAGTGGGACAAGTGGGCAGGTGTCTTTGAGGAGGCATACCCGGGTCCTGCTAGGCTGGATGGAAATAACTAGATGGAGAAGGGAGTGAGAGTTCCCAAACAGGCAGCAGTTGGTGGAAATGTGTGTTGTGGCATTTCCTTAAAAGAACACGCTCAGAAAATGGTCCAAATTCCCATGTGGCTGGAGCAAAGGGATGAGGGCCAAGGGCAGAATCTGGACAGTTGAGAAGAAACTGAATCATCGTGAACTTGACCAGCTACTGGAATGTAAGGATGCATGGTTAAGCTCTTGGGTACTAACTGAAAGGTGGCTGGTTCAAACCCACTCATCGGCTTTACAAGGGGAAGACCCGGCGCTCTGCATCCATAACGATTATTGTTGTTGTTTTTGTGTTGTTGAGTTGGTCATGACTCATACCCACTCCATGGGGCAGAGTAGAATTTCCTCAGAGGGTTTCCTAGGCAGTAATCTCTATGGAGCAGCGTGCTAGCTCTTTCTCCCGTGCAGCAGCTGGGTGGGTTTGAACAGCCAACTTTCAATTAGCAGCCAGTCACGTAACCATTGCACCACGAAGGCTCCTTCCTGTGCAGATTACGTGTTGAGAGGTTCTGTGCTGCCCCATGAGTTGGCATCGACTTGACACCACCAGTACTCCGAGTGTCTAGAATAGGGTCTGACACCTGGCAGGCAAATGTATTCTTGGATGAGGTGCTCTTAACGGTTTGTGTGGTTCAGTAGTGACTTAAAAAAATCAATTTAGAAGAGAAAAATATTACTAGAAGCTTGGAATGCCTCTGTAAAGCCCATATTCCACAAACATGTGGAGATAAGACAACCATCCCTGCTTTAACCTCTGATTCTAGCCCACAATCATGATTGAGGAAAAATAGCCCTCTTGCCCGATTATCCTTTAGAAAGCGTAACCCTAAGATGGTTTTTACTGAAGGGTCATGTCATGATCCCTAAAATGTAGCTTCTCATGAGTTCTAGAACAGGCCCCTCGGGTTCTCACTTCAATCATCAAGCCACACTGGTCCCAGGTGGCGTTGCCATTGTCCCTGGAGATTTCGGCACATGCCGCTGGGCCTGCCTGTCCTCCACTGGTAAGTGTTGCCAACACTGCCCTGAGCTGACAGGACTGTTTCTTTCCAAGTTTGCCTCAGAACAACCAGGACCAAGACATAACTTTCAACCGGGTCTTTGTGAAGATTCTGGGATCGTTCTGGAGATTCTGGGAGCTAGAAGAGAAAGAATAAAGAATTCTACCCAAGCAGAGACATTCAGAAGAACTGGGAGCTATCGCTATACTGCGTGCTCTCAGGCCAAGACAAGACCTTGAGTCCTTCACCGGGCAGAAGAAGACTGTTCAAGGAGTGTCTCAGACATGCTCAGTGCATCACAGTCCTCCTTATTTCTTCCTCTTTTCACTCCTCCCTCCCCTCCACCCTCTCCCAGTGTTCCACCGCCCCTCCCCCCACCCCCATTCAGGCACTCCTACACTCTCACTGTCCTGTGGCTTATGCTGCACTTGGAAATGGCTTTAGGCATTGCTCAAGGGGTTACTGCTGCTGTGGGAGGGGTGAGCACCAGGGATTTGGGGGAAAGCAATGGCTGGTTTCAATTCTTATGAGAGCAACGCTTTAATTATAGCTCCTGAGTTTCTTATCTACCTAATTTTTTTTTTTTAAGTACAGGAGAAATGCTATTTTGCTATCTTCCTGGAATCACCTTTAGTGGAAACCAGTATTATTTTCCCTTCGTGTTATCATTCTGCTCCTTAATAATTTAATCGCTTATGCGTGACGTATTTTCTTTTGTTTTCGAGCATTTAGAGTAAAAAATGAGTGACAAATTATCTTCCTGTTCATCAAGAAAATTATTAATGTTTTCTGAAAGTGAGCGAGCCTGGCTGTCAATTGGAAACATTTAATAAAATCCTTAGGAATATGAGCTTTAAGTGATCCAGATTCTTAGAAATGGATTTCAACTTATTTATTTTTTTTGGCAAGGAGCTTTATTCATCCCAACCACCTACCATTGCTTCTCCTGGAACCTCTTCCTCCCTACGTCATACAGCCGTGTTCCTGTTTGAACAATGTGGCACTTACTTTTGCCACGTGGTCTAAGGACTGTAGATTTTTGTTCAAAAAGCAACATTCCCCTCTCTTTAAAAGGTTGCAGAATTGCGGGACAATAATGCTCAAAGTCACTTTGAACTACTTTCTTGATGGAAATGTATAAATAATTTACATCTCCCGAATATAAAATTACCAAGATTCGCTGGGTAGTGTACATGGTTAATCACTTGACTAGGGTCTGAAAGAGGCACCTGGGAAGGAAGGCTGGCAACCTGCTTCCAAACAGCTGGCCATCAAAAACTCCATGGCGCGCACTTGTGCTCTGACACACATGGGATTGTCCTGAGTGGAATCAACTGAACAACAACCGGGACTGGTAATATAGAGAGGCTATATTTCCGTATGTTTTGGTTTGCGAAGGTTTATATTTATATATTGAGCTTTATTGATTTATCCAGGAGACATTTAGGAGCCATTGTCCGTGTGTCATTCAGTCACGGTACTGGGCACTGAAGACACAAGTCCTGCTTCAACAGGGGACGAGAGACCTAAATAGGAAAGTTATAATATAATACGGTAAATGTTATAATATGGGAAGTATGGGTTGCAGTGAGAGCCAGTAATTATATTACTTATAATAACCCACATATAGCACGTATTCTGACTAAGACACTATTATAACTTAATCCTTGTTACAAGTCTTATGATGTTGGCACTTACTATGATTTTCTTTTACAGATGAAGAAACTAAAGCACAGGAAAGTGAATTAGCTTGGCTGATT